GAGTTGATGTGATCAGTGAAATGTTGGACTTCCTGGGCTTTAATTTTAACCCAGGGTTGTCAAAATTAAAGTCAAAATTAAGTAAGTAAAAAGAGTAAAAGAAGCCATTTTTGTGAAGAAAGACCGTCCATCATTAAACAGAGGTGGAGGCCTCCGTTTTCAGTTGTCCCCCTCATACAGTGCTGCTATTGCCAGTATCACTCCACCCCCTGTTAACAATAAGTGTTAATTAGGTGTCAACGATAGCCATGTGATGTGAGTATCAGTCAATTCACAAAAGTCTGAATTTTGCCTGAAACTCTCAGACTGAAGAAGTCTCTTGGAGAAGAGACGAAACGTTTCATTAGAGAAGAACCCGTCCAGAAGACCTACACAATTTTTTTTCTTTTTGAAAAAATACAATTCACAAAATAAAATAAAAAAAATCCAAACTAACAAAAAAAATCTAAGTGTAGCAGGTGGATCAGCCTCCTGGAGCTGTATTCTGGATCTACTGCAAGCTCCAGGTGAGTAAAGCTGAGAAAAACCTACATGGAGCAGGTGGACCAGCCTCCTGCATATAACAAACCTTTTTAAAATATTATGACGACTACATAAACTAAAGTACTTCATTTATTCACGTATAATACAATCTCTTGTACAATACGACCTGAATTTTTTGAGCTTAAAAAGCAGTAAAAAATCTAAACCTCATGTAGCAACCACTAATTTCTGAAAGACTTCAGGATTTTTCAGCCTTTGCGGTGCGCCCTCTGGTGGGGAAACATTATTTGTGGATACACGCTCCAGGACGAGCAGCAGATGTTTCACTAATACACCCCCATACCATCAGAGAGGCTGGCTAATACACCCCCATACCATCAGAGAACCTGGCTTGAACTTTGAACTGATAACAATGCGGTCCATGATTTCCAAAACCAATTAGGAATGTGGACTCATCAGACCAAAGGACACATTTCCACTTTGTGTCAGTCCATCTCAGATGAGCTCAGGTCCAGGGTGTTGATATCTGGCCTTGGTTTTATCTGATAGAGCTTTAACTTGTATTTATTTAACTAAATCTGTGTAAAACTAAAAATTGCAGATATTCACATTAACTTGCTCTGTCAGACCTGGTGTTTGGTCACGTGTCAAGTTGCACACATGTCCGTATGATGACAACGCTCCAATCACATCAACATATAACACAAAGTTTAACTTTAGATACAAATGTCCCGGGCAGGGTGGGGCTCAGTTCGGAAGGAGGGGTGGAGGTAACGGTGTAACAGTTCAGATATCTCCTCGGCTGAAATGAACAGCTCAACAAGTGAAACACTTAGACACTTATTAATGACTTCACCTTCATGAGGATCACAACACGTTTTGTCTCTCCTCCTCACTTTAAGGAAATCCATCTCAGAAACACACTGCTTTGCTCTCAAGCCCCCAGCCAGCGCGCTTTAAGCCACACTGTCTCCAATGAACCTGACTTTCTGTGCGTTTATTCCAACGTGTTTCTGCATTCTTGGTAAATCGTGCCACCACAATAATAACAAGTTGGAATGAAAACAAGCTAAAATGAAATTAAAGTAACAACTTTCTACTTCTTGACTTTTTCAAAAATGTAAGAAGTAGAAGTAAAAAGTAGACTGAAAAATAATTACTCCAGTAAAGTACAGATACCCTGGTCTGGACTACTGCAATTTACTTTATAGTGGAACTGACCAGTCTCTTCTCCTCCGTCTCCAGCTGGTCCAAAATTCAGCAGCGTGTTTGTTAACGGGAACAAGATGATGTGAGCATATTACCCCTGTTCTACACTCTCTTCACTGGCTGCCTGTTCCTTTTAGGATTGATTTTAAATTTCTATTTTTGTTTTTTAAAAGTCAAACGGTTTGGTACCTTCTTATCTGTCTGACGTTATAAATCGCTACCATCCCGGTAGAGCTCTGAGATCTGAAGATCAGAAGCTCTTGGTGGTTCCCAGGACTCGGCTAGTGACTAAAGGGGGACAGAGCCTTCTCAGCCGTAGCTCCTAAACTCTGGAACAAGCTTCCTCCCTCTGTGAGGTCTGCCAGATCACTTGATGATTTTTAATGTCTTTTAATGACTTACCTTTCTGCTTTGGATTTTAATTCTAGAGAGCAAATGCAGTAGGCCAGTTTTTTTGTGTTTTTTTTCTACTTACCAAAGTGTTTACTTGATTTTATCTGACTGTATTTTTATTCTGTTGTGCAGCACATTGGTTGCCATTGGCTGTGAAAGTGCTATACAAATAAAATTTTGATTGATTGAATGATTCCCAAAAATTCTACCCACCGTATTTATTCATGTATAATACGATCTCATGTATAATACGACCCCCCCTGCTTTTTTTTAGCTTAAAAATCATAAAAAATTATCCTCAAATTACCTGCAATTTCATACAGACTTCAAGATTTTTCAGCCTTTGCAGTCTTTATACATATCAGTAAAATGTTCATTGGACTGTTCATTTTATTTTAACAACATATGTACTAAAAGGTATTTTGACAACAAATATATATCAGCTGTAGCAGCATCATATGAATTCTGGCATTTTACACATAGTCCACCAGGAGGCGCCAACACAAAAGTCGGAGACTTCACATGAGATTTGGGACCATCTTGTGGGGGAAAAGCAGATTACTTCCTACTCGCGAGCGCCCCCTCTGGTGGGGAAACTTTTTTCAGGGATACAAACTTTTTCAGAACACCAGTAGACGGCAGCCATTACAGACGAACATTTGTTTGTTGTTGTTCCAGGAGCGGCTCGGTCACGCGCTAATGTCATTAGTTCGTTATCATTACTACGCTGCAGGAATACTTTTCCCCCATTTTTTTTCACATCATGTCACCTACCTGGATCTGTTATTATCTCGCTCTGAAGCACGGAGGAAGTCGGAGGTAAGCTCGTTTCAACTGCTTTTTACGACGCAGTCTCATTTCCGGACTCAGGCATTTTGTGAATGAAGCTGATATTTCAGTTAAAATACATAAATAAAAATATTTATCCGAGTATAATACTACCCCCCAACTTTATGGGTGATTTTATGGATTTAATTTTACGTATTACACTTGAATAAATAAGGTAAGTACAGTAAAGAAGTATTTGTACTTAGTTACTTTAAAACTCTGGTTTTACACATTGTCCTAACTTCATTATAACTGGGGTTATATGTAAAATTAGACATTTTAAAAACTAAAGTGAATATAAGGCAGCAGTGAGACACTGAGTTCTCACTAAATCTTCCCTGTCAAGCTGCAGGTTAGTGTTGGTTCAGAGCAGTGACATTACTTTACAGCAGGTCAACAAAAAGCCTAACTGTGAGAGAACCAAAAGAACAGCAAGTACCTGGTGGGGTCCACCTCAAAACTGATGTGCTCAGGAGTTGAGATGACCCCCCTCAGTAGGGGTTCTAGTAGCTTCTGCAGATACGCTGCTCCATAAACCTGTGGAGGGTCCGGTCAGAAATCCACTTTCAACAGGTCAGTACCAGAGGCAGCAGGTTAATGTGAGCAAAAGGTTTCCTACCTTAAAACAGAAGGTCATTATCTTACTGGCCAGGCTGTTCCCTCTGAACAGAGTCTGCATAGAGTCAGCCAGCTCCACCTCTTTAGAGAACATGTTCCACAGCAGCTGGTACAGCAGGTGACGCGAGTCAAACAGAGTCACTAGAACCCGGGCCAACTCATCCTGGAAACCAAAGAAAACAGCAGAACTAGAAACTTGTTTTAGAGAGACCCCATCAGATCAACAAACATTTAAATATTAAACCATCTTTTAACTTGAGTGGATATAATCAGTGGTGGGCACCAGACCGCTGAAGAGCAAATCCACTAATTGCGGACCTAAATATTTCGTTTGCGCTTTAAGGGCTCGACACACGGGAGGCGACATCGCTCGCTCTCCATTCATTTCCGGTGGAGCCTGTGCGGTGAGGCGACAATCGCTTGCCCTCCTCCAGCTAAGTGAACAGCGAAAATAGTGCATGTGAAATTTCGCGCTCGTACACGTAGACGTGCACACGCGAGCTTGCAACGCGACATATGAAAGTTGAAAAATGTTCAACTTTTGTCGCTGTCGCTTAGCGTACAACCAATCAGCGAGGGTTTCATTGACTGACCAATGAGAGGAGAGTATGCTACACACTGCAGTTAGCTAACACTTTCACCAAGTGATTACTAAAAAGCTTTGTGGGAATTTATTGGCACCAGGGTGAAGTTTATGGTAAGTTTTTCCTCATAAAACTGGATCTTGATGTGTGTTTGTTTTTAAATATCATTAGCATCGCAAGATTTGTTTAGTTTACACGTTCGTAATGCACACCCTCCTTCAGAGTCAAGAACCAATCAAATTTCGTGAAGACAAGCGATCTGAGAGCGCAATTCGCAACGCTGCGATCGCTATCGGGTCCCGTGTATCGGGTTTCACCCTGGCTGCGATGACAGCCGTTAATCGCTGTAGTTTGTCGCTGCCCGTGTGTCGAGCCCTTTAGCCGTCTTACTAATTTTTATAATTCATAAATGGATTTGTGCTTTCTAAAATTAAAATGTAGCATGGCTAATAACTAATTATCTACCAGTCATCATAATCTTGAACAGTGGAAGGTATGGCTGTCAATGAATCACAACACACATGATCTATCCAACAGCACCCCTCCCAGATAAACACACTTATTGTGAAGGTATACATCCTTGCTGACTGTTGCTTTCAGTCACAGTTCTGATTTCCCACAATGCTTTGTGTCTGCTTACGTAGCAGGAAGGCAATAACAAAAACAGTTAATGTTTGTAATCCATACTAAAATTTTGTATGTATTGATTTATTTTACTTTACAATCTGAGCTCCTTTTTATAAAATAAATAAAGTTTAAACGCTGGAGCTCAATAGTTGATGTAATTGGTCGAAGCAATCGGTCAACTCTGTTAGAGACTCAGAAATGATTTGAAGATGCTGATGAAAACTGACATCTAGTGGTCAACTGGAGCAACTACATGGAAAACTTTAAAATCCAAGCTCTTATTTTGAAGGGAAGATAGTTTCCTGTACTCCATGCTTTCATTTCCCATCACTAATCAAATCCGTCATGTACCCAGAATGCATTGCTTCAGTTTTCCAATAAACAGTTTTAAAATGACTTTATTGATGCTTCTTTAATGAAAAATCTACAACAAACAATAGAAAAAGACAAAGAAGCAGCTGAACTAGCAATCCTCAACAACTTTTTAATTTTTACACCAGGAGCTAAAGGTCTGTTTCAGGAAATCACATCCTCAGCAATCAGCAGTTGTAGAATTAAGTTGTGAAAGCGTTCATATACCGCTAGTTGGCAGTGTTGTGCATATATTGTACATGAATTGTTGCCAGTTAGTAAGTGTCAAATTGAACTTGCGCTTTAAATTTAGCTTCCGCTAGTTTTTCTAGGCATGAGCGCTTTTGAGGTTGTGGACCTAAATATTTTCATAAGCATTTTAGAAATTGCGAAGCTAAATTTTGGATTAGCGCTGCCCACCACTGGATATAATGATATTAAAATGATCACTGTTTAAATCTGACACATTTTCTTTCAATAGCCTCTGATGTCTCCAAAATGTTTTATATGTGAGTAATCAACTTAGACTAAGTCTGCACCACACACTGACCCTAAAGCTGAACTCTGTCACTAATCCAACCAGACAGTAGAGTTCTACAGACCCACTGAGACCCAGGAACCACGTTGGCCAGGGCCATGGCGATGGGCAGCTCCCCCTGGTCCCCCATCATCGTAACGAGCTCCACTAGCCTCTCGAAGCGGTCAGCCAGCACCGTCTCAGCCAGCGTGTCAAACTCTGTCCCCTGCTGCAGGATCTTAGTCAACACCTCCATGAAGGTGGCTCGGGTCTGAAGGTCCTTGTGATACCCCAGGCCTAAAACGGATCAAACCCACCATCAGTGTGAGCCGAATGACACAGAGGGCAGACAGGCCAACCCTTGTTTTCTGTACAGCTGAGTCAGTAAGCTGCGAGCGGCCAACAGAGAAACAAAGTCACTGATTTGGGATTAATTTGCTTTAAACTGTGTATATTCTACGTATGTGTATTGGAGAGACATCATCTGCCAGAAACAAATTCCTTGTGTGTCAACACACTTGGCCAGTAAAGTTGATTCTGATTTAAACAGAGTCAAAACTTAAATAAATAAACTGGATCTGTGTAAGTTCTGTGTTGATATTAGGAGCTGCACACTAAAGCTGCAGGATCATGTCTTCAAATAATAACAATAAAACATTTTTGGAGGCACCTTTCTGGCAGTCAAGGACACCAAACAAGTAACAGATACACAAAAATATTAAAAGACTAAAATATGCTTGTAAAAAATTGAAATACTAATTAAAAACAGCAAATGTACAAAACTACGAGCTCAAAACCAACTGGAGTAAGCAATCCTGAAGAGATGGGTTTGAGCCTGGCCTTAAAAAGGAGAAGAGAGTCCAAGTTTCTTATTTAGGGAGGCAGTGAGTGCGGGGGCAGATCTGCGGGGTGGAGTGGCAACATGAAGGAGGTCAGACAAGTACGGAGGGGAAAGATTGTGATTGGCTTTACATGCATACAGAAAGATTATGAACTCAATGTGAAATTTGACTGGAAATCAGTGAAGCTTGTGAAGAACAGGTGTGATTCAGCTGGAGGAGGGGGTTCTAGTGATGATACAGGCTGATAAGTTCTGAACCAGGTAATGTTTATGAAGGGATTTTTGAGGAAGACAAAAAAAGAAGAGAATTGCAATAGTCAATACAGGAGGTAACAAGACTGTGGACAAGTATACCGGTAGTATGAGGGGTAAGAGGGGCGGAGACGGCTGATGCTGTGAAGGTGGAAATATGCAGACCTGCTGATGGTATTGATGTGGGACTGAAATGATACAATACTGTTGGGAATGACACCCTGACCCTTAATCTGAGTGTAAAAAGTGTTGTCAACTAAAATGCTAGAATTTTGTATAATGTAGATTTTGTACCAGTGAGTATGAATTCAGTTTTCTCACGGTTTAGTTTAAGAAAGTAAGAAGAAAACCATAATTTTGATGAGGAAGTTGGTAAAGGAGGAGGGTGGTAGGACAACATTGGGTTTATTGGAAAGGTAGAGTTGGGTGTCATCTACGTAACATTTAATGTGAATGTATTTGTGAAAAATATAGCCAATGGGAAGGAGGTAAATGAGGAGGAAGAGGGGCCCCAGAACACACCCCTGGGGTACACCGTTGGTTATGGGGGATGGTTTGAAAACAAAAGACTGAAGTTAGATGAACTGAGTGCAACCAGAAAGATGTAATTTAAATCAGACGAGGGGGTGTGAGAGATGCAGATGGAGATAAGTCTATGGAGGAGGATGGAGTGAGAGATGGTGTCAAAGGCTGCACTCGGATCAAGGAGAATGAACATGGAGAGTAAACCAGAATCTGCTGCCATGAAAAGGTCATATGTGATTTTTATTAAAACTGCTTCTGTGCTATGGAAGGAACTTTTTATAGAGATTGTTTTTTGATAAATGAGAATGGACTTGAATGATAACGTTTTCAATAATTCTGAATGAAAAGGTGAATTTGAGATTGGGTGAAAAATCAAAGAAGTTAGTTGGATCAGCATCAGGTTTTTTTTTTCAACATTGTAGTGATGGCAGCTGTTTTGGAATAGTAGGAACAATCCCACTGGTGAGTGAGGAATAGATGAAAGCAGAGAAGGAAAGCAGACTGTTACCAGTACTTTGGGGAGGGGATCTAACTGACAAGTGGATGACGTGGACTTATGGATGAAATCAGAGATGTTTGAGACAGAGGGGAGCTGAAACACAGATAAAGAGTGAGATGAAGGATGCAGTTGGGAGAAGGTATTACCAGGGCTGGAACTGAGGAGCTGGTGAATCTTATAAACTATGTCATTAAAAAGGTCATTAAAGAATCACAGAATGGATGTCAGTCCAGGACGATGGACTGACATCCCACAACTTTAACTGATAATCGTAAAATGAAGAAAACAAGTGTCTTGGTTTCATTAGTCTGTGTTTAAAAGTCTGATCATTAATGTAAACACATTGTAAACCAGCTGCTGTGACAGAAACACACAGTTCTTATTAATACTCAGATATTTTATCAGTACATTTAGTTGATGTCTGCTTGTTGTCTCAGAAATGGGAGTGATTAAAAAGATCATATTAACCACAGGGCTACGCAGTTATAAATATTTTGTATGTTGTCACTTTGAAAACAGGAAGCAGCTGTGGCAGAGTGGTTGGGGAAGTCGTCCTGTAACCAATGGGATGCTGTTTCATCCGTCTCAGTCATTGAGGTGGACCACCATCAAGGTGTATTACAGAGTGTTCAGATCTGGACCAGGGCATAACTCCCCTGAGAGAAATTAAACTTTGCTACGATAAAGTGGAAAATAGTGTCTTTTAAAAACTAAAAGAGCTTCTGATGGCCTCCAACACTAACGGACAGTAAACTAACCAATAGAATGCATGAGGCCGCTGTCCACATTAGCATTGAGCAGGTTGGACATGGCCTGGATGGTGCAGTGACGGAGGGACGCCAGGCGTCGAGACATTCCTCTCTTCCGTCCTCCCACCGGCTGACCCTCGTCCTCAACCTCACTGCAGTCATTTAGCAGGTTCATGAACAGGGTGAAGTACCTGCACACAAACACAAGGAAAGAACTGGTGTTAAAAAATAACAGACATTTCCGTTCACCTGGTAAAACCTCCTCAAGCCCCAACACCTGCAGTTCTACACTACAGCAGGAAATCAAGGGAAAATTACCTGCTGGTGGTCAGTGTTGAATAAATTCATCTAATCACCAAAATTTAAAATATGTTTCTGTACTGAACCAAAGAAAACCATAAAAACTCACCTAGTTCCACTTGAAGCATCTTTGCACATGTTAACATTGACCTGAAACTACACATTCTGTAAAACTAAAAACAAGCTGTGACAGACTGGCAAAATTACTTAAGAAAAAGCTGAGACTTGGCCTCCATCAGTTCTACTCCATCACCCTCCTCTGGCTGCAAGGGTAGACCAGCCAACAGGGACACCACAGCTTCCATACTGGCCTGGTCCAGGTCTCTGCAAAGACAACATCATCTTAAAGAGGGGCTCACTTAGAGAGCCTTGAGCTGAAATATGCAAGAAGCAGCACCTTAACAAGCACTTGATATCATCATCGGTAACTTGGTTGGAGGTTCCCATCACCCAGTCAGTCAGGTACTCCACCATCTTGTTCCTATAGAAAAATACAAGTGAAATGTTCCAAACAGTATGAAGGCAGAAGCAGGGCAGACTGAAACAGCTTCACAAAGCTGTAAACAATCAACAACTGCTGAACTGACCTGAACTTCATCTCCTGGCAGAAGGACAGGTCGTCTCGTCTCTCCATCATTACTTCAACCAGCTGGCACAATTTGGTTTTGATCTGGATCTCAGGGATTAAAGTACCCAGGATACGCACATACCTGAGACACAAAAACCAGACCGGTACACAAAGAACTGGAACAGAGCAAACACTGTGTAATATTCAAATGTCTGATCTGATCAATCTATGTTAAAATCATTTGTAATAAACTTATATTCAAGGGAAACTAATGTAGGAGTCACCTCGAGTGAAATTATCAAGGAAACTGTCTTGGACCTCATTCCTCTGATGGGCCTGTTAAGGGACAAACACTCTGTTCCACTTAGAACTGAATCTAGGCCACCCCAGGTCGCCTTAACTTTTCAGAGAGACATTCTCTTCCTTCTAAATCAGATAATAAACAGAAGAATCTTCGTCTTATTTGATTTATTGTTCTCTTAACTGAAAGTATTACGCATTTTGATAATCAGAGAATGTTTATCAAAGTTACCGGAGAAAAGAGGACAGATCTCTTTTCTACCTCAGTATGATTTCAGCTATATATGGATTTTGTGGGAAAAAATATAATTTAACTAAAATAATCTTTATGGTTTAAAGTTGATGAAATATCAATGTTTTACTTGTCTGAATCATATTTGCAAATGTTTTGAACTTGAAACAATTCATTTTTCTTTCAGTTATGTTTTGAAGACTCCTCATCAGATGATAATTAATATAGGTCATGCAATGTTTTGTTCTGAACCACACAGCAGCAATTATCTTGTCTAGTTTCCAGAGGCACGGCAAATCTCTGAAACGAACCTTTCCTTGATAACTCTTTTACTAATCTTACCTTCCGGAGGGTGGAACTTAGATTCTCTAAGCTTCTTAGTAACTAACAGTTTCTGCCCGGACGGGAGTAAGTGACGGACCGCCGTCAGTCACTCTGACAGCTAGATTCTCTTCGGGGAATCAAAAGCTGAGCTGTGACAGGTTTTTTTTGTTCCCTTCAAGCCAACAGGGAAAACCTCACAGCCTGGATGTTTCCTGACAATTTAAGAAGCTAGAAGTTTGTTATTGTCGGTTCTAAACTTTTATAGGAAACTGATTGCCACAGTTAAGTGTACTTAGTGATTCTGTATGATTTGTAAAATAAATGATCGCAATATTTATGGATCAAATCAACGTTCACTGACAGAGTTACTTCTTGTGTGTCCATTCATTTTTGCACTGGAGGAATGTTTACCCAAAATAAAAGTGATCCTTGCTAAATAAATTACTCTTATAACTTTGCTATAAGAAGTGTAAGACTGAACTCTTACACTAAATACACCAGAGTTTCACCAGACTGATATGGTCTTAAACCAAACGACACAGATTTTAAACTAATACAACCAAACACAACACAGGTCTTAAACTCCATTTCTTTCTATTTTTTTCCACTTATCTAAAGTCGGGTCGCGGAGGCAACCCAGACATCTCTCTCCCCGGTGACACTTTACAGCAGGGGTCTCCAACCTTTTTTTCCTTGAGAGCTACTTTCACAAAATGAAATTTTCCAAGAGCTACTTTTGGCACAAACAACATCGGGTGATGGGTCTTGGACTGATCCACGCCTCATGACCTAAGTGTGGGTTGGAACATAGACAGACCAGAAAATCCAGAGCTTCGCCTTTCAACTATACTCTTTCTTCACCATGACCAACCGACGCAACATCCTCATTACTGAGGCTGAGGTCCCAATCTGTCAAACCACCAAAAGTTTCCAGTTCACCCTCATTATACGTTTGGGTTTACCAGGTCTGTTTGGTACATGAGCACAAACAACGATCAGAAGCTTCCTTCCTGCAGCTCAAAGCCACAGAGAGGAAACCCTCTCGTTCACCAGAGAGAACTCCAGAGTATCCTCATACCCGACCATCACCTCTCTCCCAGGGCATCTCCAGAATAGGAGAGTCCAGCCCTTCTCCAGGAGTTGGCCTGCTGCCCGACATGCATCACACTGGACCTTGATGGCCCTCCTCGCAGGTGGTGGGTCCATCTGGAGGTGGCCTCCTGTCGTCCTTTCGGGCTTGGCCTGGCCGAGTCCCAGGAGCAGTACAATCGTCCACCAGGTGCTCGCCGGCAGGCTCCCCTCTCAGGTCAGGCTCCAGGGAGGTACCTTGGTTCCCCCAGACAACGTAGCCCCCGGGATCGTGGGGGTACTAAAACCCCTCCACCACGTTAAGGTGGTGATTACGCAGAGGGCTTTGTTGTACCTGACTTCACCATCTAACAATTTATTTTTTAAGAACTATTTAATTACTTTTTAATCATATTTTCAATCTAGAAGAGATACAGTATTTGAAAATGAGAAGTTTTACCTGACCAGGTTGAGCATCATGGTCTCGATGCTGGCCTGACCCAGATGTTCAGAGCTGCCTTCTGTGTGGTTATCTAAAAGGTTCTTCATGATGGCTATGGTCTGGTCCACAAACTGGGTGTTAGTGTCATTGATGGGAACCTGGAAACACCAGAACATTTTTTGTATGAACAGACAGACTTAAGATGCTGAATATTTTTATTGTGTTGGTTTAAACAGTCATGAACAGAACCAGCTGTCAGTGGATTCAAAGGATGAGGAACAGCTAACCTCTGCTGCTGAAGGAACACTGTAGAAGACTAACTGCTGACATCTTAAAGTATGTTTAACTTGTCAGCAACAAATTGTTTACATGTAAACTCGCCCATTTTACAAAACAGTAAGTTATCCATCACAATCTTTTTAAGCTTGTTACATATATAAAATACAGAAAGTTTGAAAAAAAAATAAACTTAATTAACAAAAACAAGTTTTGTACATTTTGCGATTTAGTTTTAAAGGTGTGACAAAAAACTTTTTTATTTCAATGTTTTTTTAATGCTTCCTGCCAGTTGTTTCATAAAAACAATGAATGAGTTTGTTAGTAAATGTGAACAGTTGACCATGAGACTGAAATTATTTTCTAGTTAAATTTTTTATTTTTTAATTATTTGACTTGTATTAAAACTAAGGAGGAAACAAAGAGCCTGTTCAAATATCATCTTTGTCTATATTGTGGCAGCAACAGGAGAAGATATTAAATCATGTGTAAATAAATAGTTTGTACATCACAAAACATTTCAGGGCTCAGTTTACCAGAAAAAGTGAACCGATGCTTCAGAACTGATCACCTGAAACAGATTCTACATAGTTTATAACACATGTGAACAGGACCTGCTCATCCCACAGACAGGCTGCATCCGGACCAGAGTGACTTCTCATTCAGGAGAGAGAAAAAGAGTGGAACCTGGTCAAATATTTCTCCTAAGTTTTTTTAACCGTTTAAACAGAGTGCTTGTTAATCAGAAGTATAAACCTGATTAGTCCTGCTGAACCCTGACTGATCTTCTGCAGGATTATTCCTTCTTCCAGTCAGCTGAAGGTGCTGACCCAGCATTCAGCCTCCCCAGAACAAAGTGTCTGTCTGATCGCGCATCCATTCTACAGGTTTCACACGTGTTAAGTGAGTCAGAGCTGGTTTACAGCCTGGATAATGGACTTACCGGGCCCTGAGTGTCGAAGAACTTGCCGATGCTGTTTTTCAGTTTGTTGAAAAGCATGGGGTAGAGGGCAGGGCTGAGTTCCAGACCCAGCAGGTCCTTTACGTTGTTCCGAACGGTGTGGCCGACCCGGTCGTGACCACACACGAGCAGCGCCAGCAGCCGGTCCAGGAAGCGGCTGACAGGGGTCTCACTGGAAGCCGATGGAGAGCAGGAGGAGGCCATGGTGGTGGACATGTCGCTGGGCCCCACAGAGATCATGGAAGGTTTACGCTCATTAAGGGGACCCATAGGTGGGCTGTAGGTGATGGGACCAGGGGTGTTACGCTGCTGAAGACACACTCCACCCAGAGCGCACAGGAAGCCTGTCATGTTGATCCATTCCTGCTGTAGAGGCACAGAGAGACACAGAGTCATTACATTTAACACTTTATACAGTAAGGTCCTGAGAGCTCCTCTGACACCACACCTCAAATCAACTCCAGGCCTTTTATCTGCATCATTGGGAAAGACTTAAAGGAAAGGCCCACACCTGCCCATGAAATAGCCTTTGAGTCAATTGCGCAGTTACTTTTGGTCCCTTTAAAATTGAGGTGGGCACATGTTCTGGAGCTGAACTCCTAAACAGTTCATCTACTAGTAATAAAAAAAAAACAAACTTCATATCAGTGTCCAAGTACCGGTAGATATGGACCTAGGTGTAATTCTTATTTTAAACTCCAAAACATCAACGTTAATAACAAAAACTCAAACTTAATTTATTTTGTAATATTTTCATGTACTAGTTTATGTTATTTCATTTAACTTGAATCCACCTCACTCTGAAGGCTGCATGTATCCGACTGATTCACTGACCATCAGGTGAAGATGAATGATTCTTCTGCTTACCTGGACATCATCTGCCTTGCTTTTTGGGAAGTTGAGTATTTGTTTGGTGGTCTGGTCCCATTTAGAATACGTGTCCTCCCAGGCCTTCAGGAAGAAAAGAGATGAGAACAAAATGAAAGTTGGTACAAAGATCTTATTGCCTGGTTTGAACCAGACCCCGTCCTTCACTTTGCTTCGTACGAGGGTCTGGACTTGCTGCATAGAGAATCGATTTCTTGCAGGAGGCGTGGCCTCTGCTGAAGCATGTGTGTGTTGTCGGTGTGAAGGAGGCTAAGCTAAGAAGCTAACCGGAAATCACATGTGCTGTAAACAACCCTACTGAGAGGAGAAAAATACCGAGCTGAACGGGACGACTGTAAATGAGAGCTGCTGCTTTGTCAGACTAATTTATTTTAATTTGAAGCCTTATCAACACAGACTGGCTTCATTCACTTCCTCCACTGTCGTATGCTAAAATAACTAGCAGACACTGCGCAGAACATTGACGTCATTCAAAACTCCTCTTTCTGTTCTCTGATTGGCCCAGGTAAAATAAACTACAAGCAGACACTGTGCAGAAAATTGACGTTCTGTTCTCTGATTGGCCCGGACAAAAATCTGCCAGTGAAATCCATCTCAATGGGAGAAGTCCCAGACGGAGCAGTGAAGGAAACTAGAATTGAGCGGAGCTGCGTAGGAAGGCACGGGCCAGGCTATAGATCTTACAACATAATAAGAAACTACAAATGTAACAAAACTTCATTTGGAATATTTCATCATATCAGACAATTTTTTTAACTTTACCAGCAGCTAAAATTGATATGAACGCAATGATCTTTTCTGATTTATCTCAGTTTTGTGATTTGGTGACAACAGCAAATGTGTTTTAACCATCAAGTCTGTCTTCAAAAAGACAAAGATTTACACAGACTTTTCATTCTTAGTAATGTTCAGGGATCTTAGTCGTGTTTTTTGTTTTAAATGTTAAACTCAACAAGTACTCTCTTATGAGTGTTGTTTTAAATACTGTCAAATTTACCACAACTAGTTTCATTGATACTTCAAGAATCTTTCTACTCTATTCTATTTACCTTACTTTACTGTATTGTACTCTATTCTGTTTACCTTACTTTATACTATTCTACTATATTCTATTTTACTCTACTTCATTTTATTCAACTGGTCCATTTTACTATTCTTTATTCTATTTTACTCTATTCTGTTTACCTTACTTTATTCTATTCTACTGTTTTACTCTATTCAATTCTGTTCTACTTCATTTTATTCTACTCTACTTCATTCTGCTTTATCCTATTCTACTCTAATTTACCCTGTCCGACTTGAATTTATCCTATCCGACTCTACTTTATTTTATTCGACTCTACTTTATTTTATTCTACTCTACTTTATTTTATTCTACTCTACTTTATTTTATTCTACTCGACTCTCCTTGAGAAAGGTTTTAGATGAGCGTCTTTAAGAGTCAATAAATGGTTCAATTTCACTGATCTTCAATGAAGTTAAATTATCTGAGCAGCATCTTTTCTTTCTGCCTGAATTCTGTTCATTTGATGGACTGTTACTAGTCGATGTGATTTCACTTTGATCTTTAATGATAAATAAAACTGAACAACAGCCTCACAGAGAACTGAACAGTACCTCAATGTTTCCTGGTGTTGGATGTTCGATTCTTCTTAACAAAGCCATTACTCGTTTCTGTAAGGTAGATCGACCTGAAAACAATACTCAAAGTTACCATCTTTATAAGGACTCAAAAATAATCTGCTGTTGAACAGGTTTATTTATTTAGCTGGAAACCCAAAGAAACACTGAGACTCTCCACTGCAGACATTTAAAATGACAAACTTCAGCGTTTGAATCAGTTCACACTGATTAAAGCTCACTGATCATTGAACTTAGGTGTTTATACCTGTTCAAACCACATTACCACAGCTGAACTTCAAATAATTAAATCTACTGTCAAATCAGAAAAGAAACTTAAACTTTCCTATCAGACTCATCTTCTTTAGCTTAAAGTGAACTAAATGTTAATCAGAACAGGTCCTTAATATATATTCCAACACTCCAGGTTCAGTCAGAAACTGTCAGGATGCGAACGGAGGGCTGAACTCTGGCATCATGCTAACCTGTTCCCATCATGGTGCTGACAGAGGCCACTTCGTTAAACGTAGCATAGTTTGGCAGAATTGTCTGAACGGGAACTTCATCTGCTGCACTGCGGATGTCTGCCTCCTCGCAGAGATGGCGAAAACAAGACATGGCCACCAGCACGGCCTCGGTGTCAGGGCTCCACAGAAACATGTAGAGACACACCTCCAGCTTGGTTTGGGCCTGCCGACAGATGGGAATGCCACAACCCATTGTCGCACACTCCTGGAACCAAAATCCAGTCAAAAATTCAGACAAATATTCAAATATTTAGGTAAATATTCAGACAAATATGCAGTCAAATTTAAAGTTAATTTTAATACCTGTTGATACCTTTTTAATACCAACTTCAAGCTGCAACTGTACAGAAAACCTCTTAAGCCTATTATAGTTACCAGACACATAGCTACTTCTTTGCCTCAATTAAACACTGACTTATGTAAGGATTATTTGTTATTCAAGCCTAAACCAAAAAAATGATTTCATTGTTATGAGTAGGAAGAGTGTGCATCCTTTCTGCAGTGCTATCAGCAACATTTGATTTTAACAACTGCAAACCTTTATCACCAAGCATTAACAATCTCATTTGATCAACAATCTTACAAAGGTTTTAATATTTTTAAATTACAATTTATGAACTAAAAATACATTAAATTAACTGAAAATACTAGAAAACTAAATCTATGTGATAGCTGTAATTTATATTTCATATTTGATCAGAAATTACATTTACATGAAGGCTGGTTCCAAATATAAACAATTTAGCTCAAACTCACAACAGCCTGTTTTAATAAAATGTAGGATTCAATTTAGCTGATATTTATCTAAAAACACATAAACCTGACTTCTTCATAGAGAGAATACTGTGAGAGTTTTGGAGAAGATTAAATGTGAGACACAGCTTTGCTGTAGTTTTGCCTCTTTTATTGTAAATGTTTAATTCCATGAACAGCTAATTATAGCTAGGCAGGCTGAATGTTCACGTGGAGAACATGCAGCTGGAGGAGGAGTCAGTAAATATACTTCTGCAGGTTTATATTTTCTGATAGCTGATTTATTAAAATCTGCCAGCCTCAATATCATTTCCAATTCTTTTTTAAATTTATCCTGAAAAATATATTTTATTTTAATCACTGCTCCAATTTCTGCTACAAAAGAGACTCAAGTTTAGATCCAGTCTTTGTTTTCAGTCATATGCTTTAAACAGAATCAGTTTGTTTTTATCACTGTGGCCCTCTTCCACAGGATAAACAAAGCTTTTTTTATATTCCAGTGTCTGACGTACAAGGCTCCGCCCCCGGGGGTGTGACCAGACAGTCAGGTTTATGTACCTGTGACTTTACAGGGCTGATTAATCTTTTTTTTAGTGCAGCCTGAACAGCAGCTCATCTTGAGCAGGTTTGTTATCGTTAGTGTTTTTTTTTATAAGACCCAAGGCCTTAAACTCACAGCTCCTGCCTGGCTGACAGGCTGTGACCTGACTGAATGGACTCTTTCAATAAAGGCTTTTTAGAAAAGAATCAACTTGTTTTCTGCAAACTTATTATGACTTCCAATTATTGATTGTTTTTTCTTACATGCAGACACCCTGTAGTAGCCCTGTCTAAGTGTATTCTAAGTAAAAGCTGTGCCTCTGCTAGGTCTACACTGTCCTAATCCTAACCCTCACAGCACCAGAGTGCTAGTTGTTCAAAAATACTTTGTCAGATCATGTTTATTACTTTTTAATAGGGGTGTAAGAAAATATTGATACACTGAAATATCATGAGATTTCATTTCCCGATACTGTATCGATATTCTAAAGCCCTGTATCGATTTTTTATTAAGGTTTAAAACGTCAACTTTCTTGCCAGTCGTTCATTTTTATGTTGTAGTTCAGCCTCTGACCACTAGGTGGCAGCAGTGAGCCGGGTATTTGGCTCCTCTACCTCTTGAGCGCCAGAGAGCAAGGGTAGCATTAGCATTGTGAGTAAACATTAGCTTCATGCAAAGCAGAACACAGCTAAACGTATCAAAAGTATGTCTATGTAATAGAATTTTCTGAGACAATGAATTTTGATTTCTTTTTTTTTCGGTAAGAGGTTTTTATTTAATAGAATTTTTGGACAAAAAAATCACAATATATCATAATATATCGCCTTGCTTATCGTATCGCAATATATTGGGATATCGTGACCCCTCTGTCATGATACAGTATGTATTGTATCACCAAATACTTGCCAATACACAGCCCTACTTTTTAATGGCCTTAATTTTTGCTCATGTGATTTAACACATTTTAATTCTTCATACAATCCCAAAGACACCCCAGGACCCTAAACCTAGGACAAAAACAAAGGTTGGTCTTAGTTATGAAAAACTCATCTTATTCGTCCATGATGACAGACAGGCACCTCCACCTCTCAGTGGTCCAAAACCTGCATCACCTGCTAAGAAGAGGAACATCACCTTGTTCTTCAGCAGAAACTTGTTCCTGCAGATGAGGATCTCCCTCAGCCACTTCAGAACGTCGGTGCCATTAACTGTTTGCTGGCCAATCAGTTTACGGCAGATGAGGAAAAGCACCTGGGAACTGACACAAGAACAAACGAGGACAGGTCTGCAACATTTCTGCTGGAACAATACAAGGATCTGCTGAATTTAACAGGCTGTAGTGTTAGAAACAACACGCACAACTGAATCTGAGAGAATTAAAAAATACTGAATAATAATGTTTTCAATGATTCACATATTCATGTATGCTACAGGCAAATAGTTAAAAAACTGCAGTTGCAGTGCGCGACTGCCCCTCTGAATAAATGAAACTTGTAACACAGGTGTTTACACTGAAATCAAAAGTATTTGGCTAAAGAAAAACCAGAACAGGACTAGAGAGATAAATATGATTTAGATTTTTATTTCTGTGACTGTTATGACCCACGGGAGACACAACATTAACAGAAGTAGTTATTTCATTCCTCAGCTTTAAAGCAGATCCTTTAGTTCCACAGCTGATGCTGCTAAAAATGACTTTTCTTTTTTTTTTGTGGATCTCTGAGAGCAGAACTTCAATCTCCAAACTAGTTCTTTTTTCACTTTGCGATCTCACTTGTGAATGAACGCTTCTTGGTATGTGTGGCAGGAAATGTATATCCTTATATGGTGTTTTTTAGGGTTGTAATTATGCTAATCTCCTCTCCTCGAGCACCTGATACACATTCATCAGTTTACACTCCTCATTTACACACTTTTCCAGAAGATAGAAGAGTTTGTTGAATCTGACGTGGCATGTACGTACGAACCCTTCATTCGAACAAAAGTAAGAGAAATTTAGGATGAGAATACGAACATGTTCTTGCATGAGGCCCATTGTGAGGAAGAGAAGCAAGCAGTGGTGACAGATCCTGACAGACTGTAACATCAGGAAATCCTCCTCCTGTCATCACATCACTCCTGTCCTCCAGCTGCTCCACTTGATCCTGGTTAAACTCATCATCAAAACTCTCTACATTTTTTAAGCCTTCCACAATCTGACCCTCCATATTTATCTGACCTTCTTCACATCTTCATCCCTCAGATCTGCCTGCCTCCTCCACCTCTCTGTATCTTCTGTCCTCACCATCATGGAGAGGACATCCAGAAGTTCTGCTCCCTCTGCACCCATCACTCTAAATTATCAAGGTGGTCCAGTCATCTGGTAAGGGTGTCTCCTGGATGACTCCCTCGGGAGGTTTGGTGAACATCAACTGGGTGGAGATCCTACCCAGTAGTCCTAGTGGTCATTGGAGCACTCGCTGCTATGACCCCCAAACTGGAAGAGTGGCTCCAATAGATCCCAGGAACAACCTCAGAGGTCTCTGTCCAGAACCCCTCAGTCCTTAGACCAGCTAAGATCCTGAACAGACCCCACAGACTCCCAGTCCTCTGGTAGAGGACCTGAGGTTGAAGTGAAGTGAAAAACCAGAGTGAAGCTGAAAGCCGGGACCAAAAACCTCCATGCCAGGTGAAGTGGAGACTCTAAACCATGTGTTTATGTGATGGACTGGCGATTTGTCCAGACTTTTATTAAGAAAATCTTTGGTCTTTTCCAGAAACTGAATTAAATGATTGTGCAAAAAAGGTTTTCTGATGGTAAACGAGCTGCTACGGTTCAGAAAAAAGAACACTCAGTCGTTTAATCCAGCTTCTCCCAGACTTGTGGTGTCAGTACCTGATGTCCCAAAACGTCTCGATGGGGGCGTGAGGGTTCCACAGCTCTATATTCTCAGGCTGATGCAGAACTAACAGCGCCTGGAAGTCAAACCAAAGACAGGACAGGCAGTGAATAAAAACAAGAAGGGCCATTCTTTATGGTGTAGAACAGGGCTTGTCAAGTGGCGGCCCGACCAAAGGTTGGCCCGACAATTGGTTCATTCATCTCTTAAGCTCAAACCCCCGGTTTTCTACTTTAATTACTGTAAGTTCTTTTAATTAAACGTAGACATGTTTGGTGTCTACAGAAACATAAGAATCTTAGCTAGAAGCTGGTATTTCTATGCACACTCAAAGTTAAAACTACAAGAAGGTGAAGATAAAACTACGAAAGTAAAAAGAAAATTGGTTTAAAATTTGGCTAATCAGAGATGTTAAAATATTGTTTGTTGCATAACAGGCATAATGTGTTCTTTTTGTTTTATTATCATTAATTTTATTACATAGGATTCTGTATGTTGTATTCATGAATAAATGCAGCAAAATAAACTATTTCAAAGGTAACGCATCTTTATAATACTTAGTTTATTTACATAATGACTTTAATTGCTGGATGTTTGGCCCCTCAGCTGTTAACCTGCAGTAACTGTGGCGCTCAGAGCAGTTTAGCTGAATAGTCCTGGTGTAGAACCTCACATTGGCTATGTTCACACTGCAGGTCTTAATGCTCAATTCAGATTTTTTGAACAAAACCCGATCTTTTGGTGTGAACGTTCACATGACATTTTAAATGCGACCTGCATCAGACTCCAGTGTGAATGCTCCACAGCACTGATGTGACACACACGTGCAGTAAAGACGCGACGTCTCATTCAGCCGGCTTGTTTGTTTACAGAGTTAGCATGGATGCTACTTTTAGCACGTTGAATCTGAAGTTGTTGTTTAATCAGAGCAGATTAAATAATTATCTGACGTGCTTGTTTAGTTCAGTGTTTATATCTGAACCTGCCTCTGACCGGATGCTCTGGTCATTTTATTTTTGGACGTTCAGACTGTCAAAAAAATCAGATATGGGTCATATGGGGCAAAAAAATAAAAAAGATAAAACTTAAAAAAATCGTCGCATTTGCCTGCAGTGTGAGCGTAGCCATAGACTCAGGATAAAGGTCCAACAGAACTGATTCACAGCAGATCTTTGGACCTGAAATCAAAGACCAACACAGGTATGGGGGCCACATTCCATTTAGAAGGTAATCTAAAAGGAACGTGAGCTGAACTGTGGGATGTTCAGGGTTCTGGGGAATTCTTTATAACCCAACTCTGTTCTTCTCCACAGTCCTGTATCTTAGCTGTGTGGAGAGAAACTTGATCTTCATCATGTCTCCTAGGCAGTAGACCTTAGAGGTGTTGAACTGATGGTGGTTCTGAGGCTGTCAGAAGGACACAGACCATCTTAGACCACCCACAGGTGGTTATTACCTCCACCAAGGGTGAGGAGGTAATGTTTTCGGTCACGTCTGTCTGTCTGTCTGTCTGTCTGTCTGTGAATAACATTACTCAAAAACTTGTGGACGTATTGTCATGACATTTTTACCACATGTAGGTACTGGGCCAAGGAACACACCAATAAATTTTGGTGATGTTCCAGATCACGGAGCGGATATAGGAATTTTTTTTAACACTCTGAGATCGGCAAAGCTGTGATGCTTTCACAGGGCTTCTGTAAAAAACAGTGAGCTGGATTGGACAGCACGGACTTCAAACTTTATAAAAGTAATGTTAAAACCACATTTAATGATGAATAATTTTTGCCATAATATGTGCATTTACAGAACGTTTTGTGACCAGGAAGTGCGTGACTGCACCATGAAACCTATTTTTCCCATTTCTTCAAACACACCACATTTCCGAAACAACCACTCAAAACAGTTTGTCTCTACTAGGCTTGTAAACAGAGAGCTGCCGGGCCTCAAAGTTTGGAGACGGGGGGAGCCAGGAAGCACTTTATAAAGAGAGTCAAACCATTACAAACTCATACAAGGAGATAAAACAGACGTTTTACATGGTGAAATGTGACTGATGAAAACTTAGGAGCTTAATCCCACACCAGTTTGACCATGAATAACGTCGGGTAATGAGTCTGACAATTTTTTTTTCATATTGGACTACACTGAGAAAAGAAATCCCGTACATACTGCTGCTTAAATGTTCACTACATCAGAACTTATTCAGCAAATGTGTTTCCATCTCTGCTTTTGCGCATTAACTCTTATAGGATCGGGGAAATTGGTCTTGGTGGAGGTTTGCACTCTCAGAGTGCTTCTACTTTTAACTAATGCTGCTTCTGATTAGCTCAGGGTTTGAAGCAGGTGGCTTTAATATATATGTGCACAATTTATTAGTTTTTTAAACAAATTCTTCATCCATTCAACATCACCAATCCAAAACATGCCTAAAATACAATTAATGCTTTTAATCAAATTAAAATGTAGCACTGCCAACAATGATCTTGCTACACATGAAGAAGACAGAGGTGAAGCAGGTGTCCTCAGATCTGATCAGACTGCTTTAAGGTTTTGCTATGAGCATGAAAATGATGACATTTGTGTTTTGTTTTGACCTCCATGGCCTCCTGTGAGAGCTGAGGAGTGGTGCTGAGGGGAACCAGCTGGACCAGACCCGTGATGAGTTCTGCTGTGCTGCTCTGCATGTCTGGAGCCTGCTTCACTGGATTCTAACACAAAACATGATCAAAAATACATGATTTAGTGATGTGATTTCACCCAGACTGACGTAAGAACTTCACTTATCAGAATTTAAATGATAAAAATGTGGCTTTATTTTCCAGAACACGGCTTAATAACAGCAGAACTCACGATGCTCTGCAGACTTACATGGAGCATGAGTTTAGGGTCTGCATGGATAAGTTTGACCAGAGCCAGGAGGAGGCACTTAAAACTTCGTGTGTCCAGCTCTGTAGCTTTCTCCTTGAACTTCAGACTGGTGGTCCTCTTCCCAATGAACGTCAGACTCTGGAGGAGAACATCAAACAGAAAACACATTAGTGTCTTTATTTTTCCCGATCACAAAGATCATCAACCAGCTCTGGTTACAGTCTATCACCTACTTGCTATGTTTAGCAAAACAAGCAAAATTATTTGATCGGACTGAAATGTATTCGGATTAAATCATCGGAATATATCATTTACATGGACACAATCTGATCACGACGAGTGTTTACATGTACCAGGCTTTTATTCAGAATAGAAGCACTGATATGCACAGTTGGTAACTTTATCTAAAAAAAAAAAAATCACAGAAAAAAAGTTCTATTTTCGTCCTGAACATAAACATCATCTGAGCTCAGAATGGACCTGCGATAAGTTTTAATAATGGTGGAGACGTTACTGCACTCCCTGCTTCAGCTGCAGGTGACGCGCAGATTTTATTTATTTTCTTTTTGTTTTTGCAAAGGGGCGCAGTCTGTGTGTCTTCCTTCTTTATTGAATGAGAAAATGTGAGGAAAAGTTCTGTCTGCTGGAAACTACAGCATTGCTGCTCCTCCCTCCACAAAAGAGCGGCTACGTATGCTGTGTTTTTGGGAAATTGTAGCTGGTGAGTTTACTATTTTATACTACTTCTGTGATATTACTACTATTTCCACTTCCTGTTATCTTCTTCATCGTCGTCGTCTTTTTCACCAGTAGAAACAGCCGGTTGTTGATCATGTGAGTCCCGTGATGCAAAAGAAGTGTTTCCATTGCAGTTTTGCGAAAAACAACAATTTCGATACGGCCGAAATACCACCTCATCCTAGCGCAAAAACATTTTGTCGAAAAATTTATTTCTTTTTTCGAAATTGACATGTTTCCATTGAGCAAATTTATTTTCGAAACTCTAATTTGCGCATTTTCATGGTCAATGGAAACGCAGCTAGTGTCAGAGAGAAAAACAATAAAAACAGTAAAAAATGTCATCCTGCTCTGTAAACCAGGGCAGGAGCAGAGTCATTTACAGCTAGGGTTGCTGCGTGAGGCTTCAGAAGTAGACTGGTAGTAAATGAGAGTATTTATTCTAAGCACTAACATCAAATAAGGTCTTCATTATAAATTTTGACATGCAACCCCGCTTTAAAAATAGCCAGGTTATCCCCTTAGTAAATGGTGCTGTGAGAAGGTTGGAGTCATGTTTATATGACAGTCCTCACTCTGCACATCCAAAAACAGAGATTCACTCTAGTGTTTGGTCAGCCCTGTCACTCTAATGCCTCTAATGCCTAGTCGCTATTGTAAATCTAATGTTTGGTTTTCCTCGTAACTCTGGTGATCTCAGTCACTAATGTTAGGTCACTTGCATGTTTGGTCACCCCAGTCACTGTAAAGTTTAGTCACCCTTATAACTCTAAATGTTTGGTCACCACCGTCACTCTAAATGGTTGGTCACCACCGTCACTCTAAATGGTTGGTCACCACCGTCACTCTAAATGGTTGGTCACCACCGTCACTTTGAACGTTTGGTCACCACCGTCACTTTGAACGTTTGGTCACCACCGTCACTCTAAATGGTTGTCACCACCGTCACTTTAAATGGTTGGTCACCACCGTCACTCTAAATGGTTGGTCACCACCGTCACTCTGAATGTTTGGTCACCACCGTCACTCTGAATGTTTGGTCACCACTGTCACTCTGAATGTTTGGTCACCACTGTCACTCTGAATGTTTGGTCACCACTGTCACTCTAAATGGTTGGTCACCACTGTCACTCTAAACGGTTGGTCACCACCGTCACTCTAAATGGTTGGTCACCACGTCACCACCGTCACTCTGAATGTTTGGTCACCACCGTCACTCTAAATGGCTGGTCACCACCATCACTCTAAATGTTTGGTCACCACGTCACTCTAAATGTTTGGTCACCACTGTCACTCTAAATGTTTGGTCACCAATGTCACTCTAAATGGTTGGTCACCTCCGTCACTCTAAATGGTTGGTCACCTCCGTCACTCTAAATGATTGGTCACTACGTCACCACTGTCACTCTAAACGGTTGGTAACCACCGTCACTCTAAATGGTTGGTAACCACCGTCACTCTAAATGGTTGGTAACCACGTCACTCTAAATGGTTGGTAACCACCGTCACTCTGGTCACTACTGTCACTCAAATGTAATGTCATTTCTGTCACACACTTAATTCATGCATTGCCTGAAATACCTCACAAACTAGAGCTGGGCGATATGATCAAAATTTTATATCACGGTATTTTCAACATTTTCACCGGTTTCACGGTATTTGACGGTATTTTTCTTTTCATCACAGCTCAGCTGATAATAAAATGTACAAACCCTGCTTATTGACTTTTTCTTTTACCGTACCTCTGTCTGTGTCACTGTTTCTCTCCTCTGAGTCTGTTCTTCTCTGACTGGTGTTTGGAGACAGTAGTCACACATTTTGATCCAGTCATGAAGGAGGAGGGTTAAGAAAAKATTATGATCGGGTTTATTGTTTTATGTTATTTATTAAAGCTTATCAGCACGACTCACCTTGCACACCAGTCAATTCCAACTCCACTAAGAACTACTTCCCGCAGGCTTTTCACAATAGAACCACGTTAAGTCTCAATCAGCATAACGTCTCCATATTAACTAACCGCGTTAAATCTAACTGTGCACGTCACCGAAGAGGTGTTTACTACATTCAGCGACGGCGAAAACGGGATGTTGTTTTAAACGTCAGTCAATATAAGCAGCGGAATCGCCACCCGCGGCTGCAAATAGCTGCTCCAAACRTTAGCATGCTAACGCACATAGCGGTGCAGCAAGGAAAAATGTCCCCCGGGAAACAACAGTTCACTGGCGGCCGCGACGAAACKTTCCGCTATTTAAACCGGAATGTCCGGTATTCAAAAAATTCATATCATAACAAAAATAAAAACTGTTATTCGGTACAAAACGGTATACCGCCCAGCACTATCACAAACTTATAGCTAGTTGCAACAAAACTTACCGGGAACTTGTCATTTTGATTGGTAAACTATTCAAAAGTGCCTTGTGATAGTTGTTCAACCAATTCAAGAGTTTGTGTGTTGGTTGTCATCCAACTATCAAGCAATTGAAGGATAACTATATGGATAACAAGGATAACAAGTGAAAAATCTGCACCATAAACATGGGCCACTAAGAAAATCAGGAATCATTTGCCATGAGATGTCAACAATCAAAGAATTTCACTGAAAATTCACTATATTGCGACTTATCAGAAACACAAACACAGCAGTTTTTGCACGTTTTCAATAAGTCACAAAATAGTTATCACCCCCCCACCACCACCCTTCAGTTTTCATACAATGCTCACAGTTTTTATAACATCCTGATATGTAAAACATTTAAACAGAAACACATTTGTTTTTATCTTTTTACTCGGACAGTTAAAGAACTTTGACAAGTGTTGTAGATAAACTTTGGTTGTGACCCAAACAAACCAATATGAATGAATTCTGAGTGCATTTAGAAAATGTTTTCAGGTGAATTTTCCAGGCTGACTTGAAAGAAATACAATTAGCATTCCTTCACTTTTCTTTTCTAAACATCCTGTTACGCTGAGTGAGACAATGGTGTGTTATCAGCTCACCGGTGTCATGCGTAGTGGAGCGTGAGTGCCAGAGCTCTGAATAACTCTGTTCAGAGTGTCTGAGAACATGAAGCGCAGCTCTCCAGAGTAACAGTACACTGCATCGATCTTAGGCCACCAGTCCAAATGGGACTGAAAAGAGACAGATAAAGGGTAAATAACACGGACTCACACTGTGTGTAAATACTGTAAAAAGATGCTCTACAAACTTACATTAGTAATTATTCTATGCAGGGAGTTGACCAGGACAAAGTGGAAGGTAGAAGGGGAGGAGGAGGCCAAACAAATCTACAGACAAACAGAACAAATCATGAGAACAAAGCAAAACTTGAAAACAAATCCTACCTGATTAAGACCTCAGACTGCGCCAAAGGTTGCTGCAACAATCAGTTACCTTAAACTGCTGGTTGTTGTGAGGATTAATACGAAAACACGAAACGAAGCAGTCCACCATGAGTTCCACATCAGCGTTCTGACTGCCTGTACCCCTCAAGAAGGGTTTGGTTGGGTTGAACAGCAGAGCCTAAAGAAGCAACAACAGATCAATCAAGTCAACCTGGTTTACAGAATAGATCAGGTGCAACACTCCAACAAATCTGGATGAATTTACAGCTTTACAACTGGGTCATTTTGACCTGAAGACTAGGGGAGAGCTGAAGCCCTTCAACACTGTAGCTTCTCCTAAAACCACAGGGATTTGAGTGGTTTTAGATGGAAACATTTACACCAGGCATGCCCATCTCCGGTCCTCAAGGACCAGTCTTCTGCAAGTTTTAGATTTGTCCCTGCTTCAACACAGCTGATTCAAATAGATGATTCACCTTCTTAGTTTACCATCAAAGTCTGCAGAGGCCCACTAATTAAGCACTTGTTAAGTTCAGCTGCGTTGAACCAGGGCAGCACTTAAAACATACAGGACACCAGCCCTTGAGGACCGACTTTGGACACCACTGATTTACACTTCAGGTTCAACATAAGTGAGCTTTCTTTGTATTAGTCTGGGTTAACAAAATCTAAACTTCATCTCAGAGTAACAGTGGTTCTGGTGCTACATTGTTAACTTAGACTTTCTGTTTCTGTCTCTCTACAAGTTCACATGAAGAGGGTGAATAAATTTATTGGGGTTTGTTTACTTACTGATTTTTAAAAGCACTACACATTCTGTAGTTCTTCTTAGGTGAAACATGATATATTTGTATAAACTACTGTGTATTTTTATGAGTAAAATGATGATTTTATGTACAGACTGGTCTGGATGGCTAGACAGTATGGTCACTCATAGCAGGACGTACATATATGTAGATACATGCCTGAAAACATTTACAACACGTAACTGTTTTTACGTTAGAACTCAGTTTTCTCTGTTGTCGAAGGTTTCTGGTCACATGATAAGGAGAACCAGCTTGCGTCTAGGGAGTGGCCGGAACCTGAAGGAGTTGTTGATAAGATGCTGAAACTTCCTGCCAGAGGCCATCCACGACCGCTTAAATAACTGAGACTATTAGCCTAGCTGATGGGCTTCGGTTCTTACATTAATTAACATTAAATTCCGTATTTGTTGCCTTGTCCTGTACACATATCAGAGTAACTGATTAAAAAGCATTAAAAAGGCCATATCATTTTTTTAAATTAAATATGAACGCTTTTTTGGAAAGATCAAATAGCAAATGTTGTAAAAGTAATTCACTGTTCAGGTGAAGAGTTGTTGAGATATCTGCATTTGAAGTAGAAACAGTTTTTCTGATTGTTTTGTATTTGAAGGATGTGGATGTCAACCAGTCATTCTGGACTTCAGACCTTGAGATCCATGACGATGGACTGGACCAGGAGGAAGATGGTTGAGTGATCTTCCCAGTTGATGTAGGTAGAAGCTTTACAAAGTTTGACACAGGCGATGGCAGCGCTCTCCATCAGCTGCTTGTTCCCACCCTGGCCAGCCAAAGCTTTCCTCAGACTATCCAGAAACAGTTTCTGCAGACACCACCGCACAGGAAACAGTTTGGGAACACGGAGCGTTGGGGTTTGCAAGTGTTTGTAGCGCTTTGTTTCCACCCACCTTGTTGGCTTTGCTGTCCTCCACTGTGTCTCTAGAGATGGTGTGTGTGATTTCTGGACAGAGGATGAGGAGGATGATCTGCAGAGGCCAAACAGCTGCCTTCCTCTTAGCACTTTCTGCAAAACTGTCCACCAGGTCAAACAACTTCTCTGCAGCCTCTGTACACACACACACACACACACACAGTTGAGACAGGTTGCTACAACAAAATAAATTAATTAAATAAAGGCCTGGCATTCATTGAAGGAATGCATAATTACCCACCACCTCCGAAGTCAGAGTTTTAGACTAAATTAATCTTATGATGAAGAGAGACAGCTCAAGCTGCTCAAACCTTATAAAACACATTATGTGTGATGTCATCAGTACAGTGAGATCTTCTGAGTTGTGTTACACGGGCAGCACATGTTGAAGATGACTCTCAGCTACTACCACACCAATTGTAGCTGATAAGTCAAACCGACTGAGTTGATGTTTGTGCTGGTTAAGGCCCATTCGCTGTGCAGGCCATCTGAAGTTAAAAGCTTTGGACAAAACTATGGCACAGTGTAATGGAAACACTCATCTTCTGCTACATCTGATTATGACCCCCACACGCAAAGTGGAGGTCATATTGTTTTTGTACTGTTTATTTTTCTATTTTAATTTTTATATTTAAAATTCTTTTAATTTTTTCAGTGATTTTTGGTCAATCGTAGCACACAAAAAGCTGCACCGATCAACAAGAAATTTGCCAGGACTGTAGATAAGTCCAACCTATATTTTGCCAGCCAACGGTTTTACAATAGACCCCATATTTGATGAGGGGGCTCCATCTGAAAAGGGGATGTGTGGACATACAAAAATGCTTATGACTCAAAAACTATTCAACATAGGAGCTTTTAGATGTTATTGTTGTTTAGCTCTGATGAATGGCTATCCATCGGGCCCACAATGAGCCCCCCAAAAACAATAAATCTGTTCTGCATTGGTGATTTGCATAGGTGCGGGGGTCATATTTGCTATCAGTATGCAGTATCTACTTTTAGCTTTACATTTGTAAAACTGCCTGAGTTATAGCCATTCTGTGTTGGCTAAGGCTAATTAGCTGTGGCACCCATCTTAAAATGTGCATGTTCATCCATAGACTAGTTTGAGTGTTTCACTAAAATCTATGCAATGGTTGATGAGATATTCTGCTAACAGCACACATAAACAACAACTGTGGCTTTTCTTCTTTTTAGAAAAGAAGTTTGTTCTTGAGACAAACCTTAAGAAGAAACAAAAGAGAACAGCAGTCCACATAGAAGATGAAAACTCTCCTCAGTCTTGTGAGTTCACAACATCCCAGCTCAGAGCAGACACAGTAACTTCCTGTCCCCCCAAACCCAGCCGGTCGAGGCAGGTGGCTGCTCATCCTGAGCCTGGTTCTGCTGGAGGTTTTAACTTGTTAAAATGGACATTTTCCTTCCCACTGTCACCAATGTGCTGCTCAAGATGTGAGGTTGTGACAAAGAGGAGATTCGCTGCTACTTGCTGCTTCCTTCCTTAGATATTCAACTTTTACTAATCGTCCTTTTATAAAGTATTGAATGTTTTGTACATTTGTTGTGAACTGGCACTTTGTAAGTAAATTGGCTTGAACTGAATGAAATGGTCTGTTTTGTGCTCTTTCACAAACAGTTTAAAAGAGAATAAATTGAATTCCACATGGAAAGAGTGGTTACTGAAATATACCTGATTTGGCTGTGAATCAGAACTTGAACTGATTTGTTTCATACCTGCCATGTCAGTCTGTGGACGCTGGTACAGCATTGTGAATTCATCTGGGTAATTCTCCACCCAGTTCCAAAAGGCCTGCAGAGAGCCAACAGGAGGACATTAATGCTACTGAAAACAAGACATGATGATAGCTGCTCTTATGGTGAAGCTGTAAAAAAACAGCTACCTTCTCTAAACTGTTGATGACAGCAAGCTGAGCAGGTTTCTTTAGAGCCCTGAACTTTGGCACCATTTCTGAAAGGAAGCAAACTGATTACAGACATCTGAACAGTCTTAGATCTTTTAGTGATGGAATTAAAACCTACCAATCACATCATTAGTACAGGGTTTTCAACAAGTTCTACAAACACAACCTGAGACGTGTCACATGTATTTATAATCAACCCTCTTTAGGTGATGATTGTTCATATTTAACCCTGTTTAAGGTGGCATCTCTCTTGGTTGAACTACTTGGTCACACAGACATATTCAACCTGTCTTAAGCGCACTGCAGATGTTCAACCCTCGACGCTCACTCTTGGTGGATATTCTTTGAATTGATTGATTTCGTAAAATATATATATAATGCTACAAAACTTTCATTTTTCAATATTCAAACCTTCTGGCATGAAGGCCCAGTTTACGATGTCTGGAAACATAAGTGTTTTTTAACATTTATTGTGGCGAACTGACATGAAAAAGATAAAACTTTACATTGATGTGATGAAGATTCTATGCCAGGCAGGATTGCCAAATAAGAAATTAAGAACTATGGCACAGTCACTTTAAAATGATCGTAGGGTTGCTCCTCCATGTTGAAAAGGTTAGCTGAACAAACAGGACTCTGCTAACAGATGTTACTTTCTGACAATCATCTTTACCAGATTCTTTTTTGTTTCTACAGAAGACTAATGGGAAGATGTTTTTGAGGTGTTCGTTTTAGGATTGCAAATTAAAGAGTGTGACTCTTTCTTTGGAAGTGAGTGTTTTTTTTTTTCTCAGCTTGATCTAAAAAAAAGCAACTGTGACTGACTAACAATATTTCTTTGTTGTTGTTGTTTCCTTATACCAGCTGAGTAAGGTACCAGCTTTATCACTGAGCCATCTAATCTGTTTAATCCAGCTGTTCTGTGAGCCTCAGATTTTTGTTAAACAACATTAGTAATCCAACAGCATCATGAAGACCAAGGAACATACCTGACAGGTCAGGACTGGAGTTGTTGAGAAGTTATGAATTAGTGTTCCTTAGGAAAAACTTTTTACCACTTTACATAACTACCTAGAAATACTTTTTTTTCCACAACAAACTAGTCTATCTTTAAGAGCCATCTCAGCCTGAGATTAACATATTTAATATTTTTTCATATTATTTTAACTCTACGGGCTTTTAATCAAAAAAATATCCACATTTCAGTTGTATTTCATGCCTCCTGACAGCCAGAGGGCGGTGCTGAAAGAAATGAACGTTCCCTTCGCACATGCACCGTTCGAGCAGTAATACCAACAGAGTCACACCTGTGACCAATCAGATGGTTGATCAGAAGCTATATAGCTTGACATCATCAGAGGCTCTGTTCCTCTTTTCTTCTCGCGTGCGGTTCATATTTCATGGAATCAGCCTTTTTGGAACTTTTCACCGTCGTTGGATGCCTCGATTGCCGGTTGGCTGGAGTAGCTTCACCCTCCTGAGAGGCTGCGATGGACTTATCTTTGCTACAAGTACTCTGCTGTTGTTTGTTGGTGATGACCACATGTTTCACCTCCTCTCCCAACTCACAGTTCTTCCTCATCATTAGTGTTGCTACACACCGGACTTAGATATTGGTGTTAGCCTTTCTCAGTTTGCTTTTCGGCTTTAATCGGTGAAGGCAGCATTTTCGCCCCCTCTCCCAATTCAGACTCCCTTTCTCGGCAGGCACCTGCTCCAGGAGAGTGGGAAATCTACGATCAGGCAGAAGTAGATCTGTTTGCCACAGAAGAGTTGACTCATTGGCCTCTGTGGTATTCCCTTACGGGGGCATCGGGCGCACTGGGCCAGGACGCCTTGGCACATCCCTGGCCAAGGGTCCTTCTATATGCCTTTCCACCCCTTTCTCTGATTTGGCCAACTCTTCAGAGAGTTCTCGAAGAGGGCCACAGGGTGCTGCTGGTAGCTCTATATTGGCCAGCACGACCATGGCTCCCACTTCTACAGAGTCTGTGTCACGACGCCCCATGGTGTCTTCCAACCAGGTGGGACCAATTGTCTCAGTTGAGGGGACTGATATGGCACCCCAATCCTCAACGCCTCAGGCTGTAGGTGTGGCCACTGGGAGGCTTGAGCAGCATTTGACTGGATATTCAGACAGGTACACTATTTTGAGTGCTAGAGCACACTCTTCTTGTCAGCAATATGAAAATAGGTGGCGCTTGTTTTCTCAGTGGTGTGCTGGCAGTAATGAGGATCCAGTCTCCTGTGTGGTGCCCACTATCCTGGAGTTTCTTCAATGTCTTCTCGATAAGGGCTGCTTTCCCTCAACACTTAAGGTATATGTAGCAGCTATATCATCTAATCATGCTGACGTTGATGCCAGTATGATCGGGAGCCATAACCTGGTTTCTCTTTTTCTGCATGGTGCTCGCAGGTTGCACCCACCAGCAGTTCTGCGGGCACCTGCTTGGGATCTGCCCTTGGTCCTCGAAGCCCTGCACCACTCTACATTCAAGCCTCTGCTTCAGGCAGACCTCAAGTGGCTCTCATGTAAGACAGCTTTTTTATTGGCTATTGTCTCAGCTAAAAGGGTCGGTGAGCTGCATGCTCTCTCTGTCAGCTCGTCATGTCTCATATGGGCCCCAGATGGCTCTGGTGTTATCTTGAAGCCAAACACTGCATTCGTCCTAAAGTTTTTTCACATTCCCATTGTAACCAGCCACTGAGATTGGCACGTTTTCAGCCTACGTCAGGAAGGACTGGAGATAGGCCTGACATATTGTGCCCAGTGAGGGCGCTGGAGACATATATTGCAGCCGCCGCTCCTATAAGACACTCTGACCAGCTGTTCTTATATTATAAAGGCCATAGATTAGGTTGTCCTCTTTCGAAACAGCGTCTCTCCCACTGGATTGTGGATGTCATCTGCCATGCCTACAGGGCAGGAGGCTGCTTCCTGCCAGTCGGGGTGAAGGCACACTCAACCAGGGGTATTTCCACTTCCTGGGCAGCTCTGACAGGGGGGGTCAATTGGAAGCAATATTTGTTGCTGCATCATGGGCTTCTCCAAGCACGTTCACTAGATTTTACAATGTGAATGTGGCCTCCCCTCATCCTCTGGGCCAGGTTCTTTTGCAAGGGTCCTCTGGGCCTTCTCAGTGAGATAGGTGTTCAGGATTCCTTGTGACGTTGCTGGTATTAGTCGTTCAGTGCCTTCAGCACAGCCCTCTGGCGGTCAGGAGGGATGCAGTAGAATGAAAGTTACGTAACTACGGTTCTATGAATCCTGGATGACTGCCAGAGCTTCTCCGTCACTCAGAATCCTTGCATTTCCGAGTAGATTCTGTAGGAACAGAGCCTCAGATGACGTCAAGCTATATAGCTTCTGATTAGTCATCCGATTGGTCACAGGTGTGACTGTTGGTATTACTGCTCGAACGACGCATGCGTGAGGGGAACACTCAGTGCTTTCAGCACCGCCCTCTGGTGGTCATCCGGGATTCATGGAACCGTAGTTATATACATAACTTTTGTTTGTTTTTATTGACAAAAGAAATTACATTTAGGGCAAGATTTTAAAAAATGTAATTTCCTCCCATTAGAACCCCCTAATTGATTTTTGATGATTATGATTTTTCATCCTTTTATATTTTTTCGTAATGTCCTGATTTTTGCTTCTACTGACCAGGATATGTTAGTGAACCTCTGTGTTTTGTGTGGATGTCCTGCTCTGATTGAGCTCTGATTGAAGCTAACAGGAGTTAGCTGTTCTGAGCCATGGAGCAGCTGATTCTGCAGTCTGAATGCAGGTGGAACTGCTGTTTGTACTAAATGTTTCCTTGTATACAACACAAGCGTGTTTTTTGTTCTTTTCATCTGAACTAAAGCAGTTTTGTAGACGAGATGAGAGACAGAACTGAACAATAAATTATAAGTCGTGAAAGACAAACTCCTTCCAGGAAAAACTGAAGAAAAGCCAGATCATTTTTACTGAGGTTAATGTGAGATAAAGAACAAAAGTATATATGTTTAATGTGAGATAAAGAACAAAAGTATATATGTGGCAAAGTATACATATATAGTATATAAATAAAAACATTACTGAAAGGAAATTATTAGTTTATTCAGTGATGAATTTGTGATGCATTTATAATGTATTTCAATGTGACTGATCGTTACTGTGAAGTTATGGGAGCATTTAAAAACAAGTTTGAAGGAGAATGAAGACTTTTCCAGGGCACTGTATTAAGAGAAAACTGAGTGTTTGAAAGAGTTGTGTATGTAAACATGCAGAAACAGTAGGAGCTAACCTTGCAGCAGCCTCTTCAGTTTAGAGCAGTCTACGTTTATATATTGCATCAGCTCTATATCATGAACATCCACATTGTCCTCAGAGCACACGGTTAGCTCCTGCAACCTGCACAAACACATACACCTTTATTTTCTACACTGGAACCAATGTGGACACAAGAAGACCAGGTCTTTGGTTTTCAACCCCAGAATCAGAAGGGACTGGGGATAAAACTATGGAGAAAACCGTTTACCTTACAATAAAAAAACAAATCCATTTAATGGTATACTACTGGAATAATTTGTGCCATGTAAATAAGAAAATGCAGCAGAACTGGATGAGTTACCTGGTGGAGATTCGACTGAAGACTGCATTGAAGTTGTTGCAGCTCAAAGAGAAGAGGACAGCTGAGGCCGAGGCTCGCAGCTCAGCAGCGTGCTGGTGGCCGTCACGATATGTGTGGATGAAATGACAAATCTCTGGCAGCAACTGTTTCACCAACATTGTCTCATCCAGCCGCAAGCAGTCTTTAGATTGCTGAGAAGAAAAAGATTTGCCAATGCTGTTGGAAAGTGATGCTTCAGATTACAGCTGGGTCAGCAGTTGAAGGAAGTCAAACTATGGTAAAAATTGTGTTTGTGGAAAACACATCACACATGATCCAAATGTAGAGCGTTCCCAGGACAGCCGAGAAATGTAGTCCCTCCAGCGTGTCCTGGGTCTTCCTCTGGGTCTCCTCTACAAATTCAGGGGAACTGCCCCAGATGTCCACACAATATTGTAGGGTCGCGTCAACCAACGCTACCCCACAACATCCAGAGGCTTAAGGAGCTTTAGGCCAATTTCATCCACCCCTGGTGCCTTGCCACTGAAGAACTTTTTAACCACCTTGGTGACCTCAGCACCAGACATTGGAGAACCCAAGCCAAGGTCCCCAGGTTTGCTTCCTCATTGGAAGACGTGCTGGTGGGATTGAGGAGGTCTTCCAAGTGTTCTGCCCACGGACCCACAACATCCCTAGTTGAAGTCAGCAGCGCACCATCCCCACCATAAACAGTCTTAGTGGTGAACCACTTTCACCCTCTTGGTTAGAGTTTGTGCAGGAAAAGTAAAACATGTATGACACTGGACACATCAGATCCAACAGTTGCTAGTTAAAAGGACATATGTAAAAGCTGAAATGGAACAAAGCACACTCACCCCGGCCAAGCACTTCTCCAGAGTGTCCAGGATGATGAGCTGAGACAAGTAAAGATTCTTCTCTGAGGTTTCTCCAAAAATCCGCTGTGAGGAAAGGGACAGAACATCAGAGCTAAAACCAGACCAACCAGATTGACTCAGTCAAACCTGAGTCCTACCAGGGTCATCATCACTAGTGCACAAATGTCTGGTTCTGAAAACCCAACATTGCAGGTTGTGCAAACATGTTCTTGCAGGCTTCATTGCTCAGTGAGACAAGGCAGAGTCTAGTCCTGTTGGATAGCTTTCATGCGATGATGATAGGGTTCGGTGCCATTGATCATTTTCATGCCATGGCATAACTTTTAAAAAATACCACTTACTCAGTATTACCAGGGAGAGGGGTTTGTGGCATGTCGAGCAATTAATAATTAACGCAGAAACGTCTGCTTATGAGAATTTCCATGAATACAGCCTGAGAGGCAGAGAACAGGCAGCTAGAACAGATGAAGTCCAACTTTTTTTAAGTTTATTTTTTAATTTTTGTTTGTTTCCGCACTCGGAGCAGTAAGATGGTTCCTCCTTCTCTCCTGCCTTTCCTCATCGTTCCCTGCTTTGCTGCTGGAGCCTTCTCTACATTTTTCATCCGAAACTAGAAATTATGGATATTTTTATTTTTATGGATTTGGTTAGCTGGTCTGTCAATAAAATTTTTGGAACAAAGTTTATTTTTCTGCTTCCATGGGAGGACATGTCGCAGGTGGGACCTCTGTTCTTCTCTGTTCTGGACATGCATTTGGACTCTGATCACTGGATTCTACAGTTGGGCTTGGTGGTGTCCTGGTGTTCTAACAGCATCGGTGGCCTTGCACTTTCTGGCTGACTGACCAACTGGATGGATGGCTGTATTCTATCAGCACTCGGACATTTTGCCTTGAGCGAGCTGGACACGGTCTGCAAGCGGTTCTACTGAGGCCCGCGGGCCGGCTGTGGTCCCTGGACTTTGCTGGCCAGATGGAATTCATCTTGGAGAAAGCTGATGAATCGGCTCGGCGGTATCTGTCCACACCATTTTGCGTGATTGGATTCACCACCTTGAGAGTACCAGCAGACATGAAGGCAGAGGGAAAATTGTTTATCGTCTGCCTGTCCTTTCTGTTCCCAAAACAACTGATTACAGAATCTGGATCTCCCCAGCAACAGCCTTGATATATGTGTGTTTTTATGTTCTCTGATTTAACTTTTGTGTTCTGTACTTAGTAATCACTTTGTATCATTCTGTGTTAAGCACTATAAATTCCTGAGTTGTTTTTCACCCTGTGTTAGGCTGGGAGACATCTCCTCGCACACGGTATAACCAATTAAGGGTTTGTTTTTATAGTTATGTTTAAAAGAACCTTGGAGATGTCAAGACATGTTGATATGTTGCAGCAGGGGCGCCTGGGGGCGAGGCTTGGCCCATCTCGCAAACACGCACTCCTTGAGTATAAAGTTATGGACAGGTCCGACTCCGGGCAGAGTCTGCTGTGGGTTGCGCACCAACGCCCAGCTGATCGGTGCTCACTCTACCTGGACTGTCGGCTCTCCAGTCCTGTGTCACGGTAAGAGTGTTTGATGACTTGTAATCTGAAGCACTGATGTTGATTGTGTGATGTGATTTGCTGCTTTGCTTGGCTGTTATTCTGTGGCGGAATAAAATGACACATTATTCTAGCAGACAACAGTTTCAGAATGAAGTTCTTCAGTTCTTGAGTTGTCATTTTTTCCTTTTAATTGTGCCGACTTTCTCCCGAACTTGCAAATAAACAAAATATTTCATAAAACAGGCCTTGATCTTTTGACTAAATCCTTCCTGGCTGGAAGATGTCGACACCCCCCCCCTTCCCCCTCCCTCACCCGTATGATCTGATTCCTGAGAAAGCTGAGGGCCCACAGAATTAACAGTTTACATCAATATTCTGAACTTTGGCTGCGCTGGCTTTGGGACTGGATTCTTCGGGCCCCCTAATCTCAATTACTCCTCTGGCTAAGAAATATGCCCTATGCAGAGGTTTTTTCATAAACACCATAGTGTGTCACAGTGTTGATATAATATGTTTTTGTTTTTTTCCTCATTTTCCCTTGTGTGGTTTTTAGTTTTTCTGTTTGTCTAAAGGTAGCGCAACTGTGTTTGCTGCATCACCTGTCTTAACTGCCCCCTCCCCCTTCCGTGAAAGTACAGCACCTGGTGAATTTATTTCTGTGAAAGGCGCTATATAAATAAAACTTACTTACTTACTTACGTGTAAAAAAGTTTTAAGTTTCAAAATTCAAAAGTTACTCTGTATGCTACATAAACGGAAGATCAAAGACGCAAATGACGGACATCATTTTCGAAAAACAACAGCACACAAGCGTCCTATGGCGTGTATACAAGCATCGACCATAAGTTATCCTAACTTTGGTAAATATCATCTACCTTGCCGGTTGGGCTGATTTCTCCGGCTTGCTGCTGTTGTGGCATGTCTTGGTGGAGTGGCGTATGTGGATGGAGTCCCTCGGCCTTCGGATTGTCCCTCGTGTTTGGACGGAGCGCCTGGGGTGGACTTGCCGGCCTGGACGCGTGGCGGTGGGAGCCGGGACGGAGCGACTAATCTGACAAGTGAGGCATACCAGCTTCCCTGTTGCCTATTTGGATCAATATCAGCCGTGCCCTGTTTTTCGGTTGAGGACCAAACTGGAGCTACTGGTTTTGGTGAGCATGCTCGTGTCCGACATGGTGGGAACTATGTTATTCAAGCCTTGAAGTGTGCGCCATTCAGCGAAGAAAAGAACAGCAAGCTACTGACTGGCTTCAGAACCTCACCTGATC